CCATGCCACCTTTCATTGAGTTGCTTCTCTAAATCAGCTCTAAATCTCAGGAAGGGTGTGACAGTCTTTCCCTTGGCTCCGTACGGGTTGTTTTCTCCCAGGGAAGGGGACTCGGGAGGGTGCTCTGTACTCTTCCCTTGTAGGGGAGGTGCACGCGGCTGTGATCTCCTCTGCCCCACAGTGAGAGATGAAGAGAAAACCTCTCCTCGCCGATGAGGGGAACTGGGGAAGGGGCCTAGTTCCTCCTTATTCCAAATGCACAGAAACAAACACCGACACGCTCAACCCTGACTAAGTTTTCAGCGGTTGCAAACTCAAACACTGGTGATGGGAGCAATCCAAGAGAGTCAGAGGGTGGCAGATCCAATGATGTGGCCTGAAAATCTAGCCACCATGTCCCAGCGCACCATGACATGCAAGATTCCAAGCCCAGAGAGGCTTTCCTGCCCAAATCTGGAGTCAACCTCTACCTACACACTTCGACGCTCACGGTACTCTCGTCTTCTCTCCTCCTTCATCAGCACACTCGCTCTCTCCATTAATGCACTCTTCCCAATTGACAAAGCATTCTGTCCACCCCTCAGAAATCCTTAAATCCACAGTGTGACAGATTGAGACGATGTGGAATACATATTATGTAAATTGCAATGGCCTCTGGCATATGTGGTAACGTTCATTCATTCATCCACTCACTCACTCGATCAACAAATATTTACTGAGCATCTGGTATGTGTCTTTTCTCCTTTGCTAAATCTCTGGCTGGAGTGGATGAGTCCAGAAATGAGAAAGCAGGAACATTATAGGGTCAGGGGTTCCTCCATTCTAGATTTCAGTCAGCTTTCTCCCCAGGGATGGTGGGTAGCAGGTCAGTTTTGACTAGCCAGAACTCAGTGATCCTTTTTCTGCTAACAGTGCCCTGGTTTCCCTCTGGGAGACGACCCCACTCTTAATATATAGGCTTGTGGCAGCACAGACTCCATGCATGGCTCGAGAAATAGAACACGTGACTCAGCTAAACCAATCAGAGAACTACCCCGATTTTGCTGCTGTGATGGGTAAAACACAAGCCGGTCAGTGTTGAGGCACAATGAAACTTCTGAGAAAGAAACCATGTTCCACTGGATTTGAAATTATAGGAACATGAAGCTGGAGCTGCTGCAGCCATTTTGTAACCATGTGGGGAGAATCCATCCAAGAGGGGAGAGAAAAAGAAGCTGAGAGGCAGTGAGGGGAAAACTGGGTCCTGTTGAGATTGTTTAAGTCTCTGAGTCAAACCACACTTGAATCTGTGTCTACCTAGAGTTTTCACATGAGCCAGGAAATTCCCCTTATTATTAAGACACTTGGAGGGGCACACTTTGTTGTGCTTGCAACAGAAGGGTACATATCTGCTGTGCCAATTATCTAACATAAACAAGAAATCCCTCAAATATGAAGATTAATGTCCTGATAACCCCCCCCCCTGCCGCAGGTCTACATGAGAGTTTCATATTCCTCCTCCTAACAGAACCTTGACCTCATTGGCCTTTAACAGAAGAAAGAGATTTTCCATGCCCATCCCCAATCCTCAGCCAGTAATTTGACAACAAAGGGCACCAGGTCTGACCCTCTTCTCTTATTCCAAGATTTCTCCCCCAGCTGGACGATGGTGGAGAGGTGGGCAGTCTTGCCCAAATCACAAAAGCCCTCACAAAATAGGTTACCGCCATATTTCTGGGACTGAGTTCTTTAGGAACCCAGGAAGGCTCTGTGGAGTCACCATGACCAGAGCCGGCCTCATGAGCTTCCACAGCCTGTGCTCCATCACTGGCCTTTTCTGACTGCTGTACACAAAGGAAGCGGATGATTCTCTTCACAGTGGGGCCACCGGCTCTCTCCTTCCAATCCATTAAGCATGGCGTGGAGCCTGTAACTCTGCACACGCCATGCTGTTCTGTATAAATAGGGACCATCCATCAGAAATGTCACAGACAGGAAGCCAATGAAGTTTCTACAACCAATTTACAATCAGGATCTGCCGTGAAATGCACACGGAAAATGCCTTAACAGATTGAGACGATGTGGAATACATATTACGTATGGCCGACAGAGCCCTGCTAAATCTGGAGGATGAAGCGCAAAGAAGAAAAAGTGGAACACCCGCAAAAATGAGAGAACAAATGAAATGCAGGTGGGGTCTATATTCACATTGGAAAATGGAAACAACAGTGTGGCAAATAGAAATAGTGTAACGATGTCCCATTTTTCCTCCATTCTGCAAAGTCAGCAAACCAGGGGCGCTCTTGCAAATAAATGTTCTTCTTGATGCTGAATTTATTACCGCCAGGCTAAAAAGTATAAGAATTGAAGATTTCTATTTAGACAGAAAATAAATTTAACCAAGGGGACAGCAAGGCGTGTTTTCTAAGCCTCAGCTGCCAATTCCCTTCAACCCTGTCTCAAAAGATTTACTCACAAGTGTAAAATTCCAACCTGGGCTCAGCGGGGTGGCTTAATTTTTAGAAGCTTGAAAACTACTTTGCAGGGAAAAGAGGAAGTTTGTCCATCATCCTCATCATCAACATCCTGAACATTCAGGCTCAAGGCATGGCCTTGCACAGAGGAGAGACACAAGACATTGTAATATAATTATTCAATTTATTCTAATGATGACTAGCGGTATCTTTCTTTCCATAGATGTTGATGCAAACGAAAGAGATGTTTAAATGCTGACACAATCTTCATCAATATCACCATCAATACCACCATCATGATGCCAGACGGTACTTAAAGATCACTGGTTTTACTCCAGGGACAAGAGGGAGTTCATATAAAGTGAGTACTATCATATGCCCCCTTTAGAGCTGATAAAATCTGGACCAGTAGAGGTTAAGAATCAACTAAATGATAGACTCAGATCCCAGCACATCTTTCAGATGCCAGACCGTCAAGAGCTGTGGTCCCTGGATCTCCTGCCACTAATCAAGGGCATTTATAAGCCCCTCAAAATGGGTTAGGTATACATTTTCTTCTCCAACATCTCTGAAACATCAACATCCCTCCTCCTTGGAGCATTCCTACAATCAACGACCTTCCCAGTCAAGAATGAATCAATCAAACGAGCTTTTAGTAAACATGGAACACTGATAACGGTAGCTGACTTTGCCGAGTGCTAACTGTATGCCAGCCGGTGTGTACATCATTTTATATATGGATTATCGCACCCATTTATCACACTGTCCCCATGAAATATCTGCCATTATCGTCAACACTTGACAGGTAGGAAAACTAAGCCACGTATGGTGCGCGTGAGCCCAAGCACATCCATTTACCAGGAGGCAGAGCTGGGAGCATTCTGCCCCCACTCTCTCCCAAACCAGAAGAGCAAGGCTTTCTTGGGCTCTGCTCACCTGAAGCTGCCCTTGCCACATGACCCATGACCTCCACACAGCCTAAGCGCATGATCAGTGAGTGCTCAGCTGTCTTCTTCCACTTCATTAGCAGCGTCTGATACACTCGGGCACCCTCCCACTCTTAGCACACACGCTTCAGTAGTCTCTGGTGATTCTCGACTCTTTCCCCGTCCTGCTCGGTCACCTTGATGTCCCTCCCCATCTCCCCGACCTTGAAATGTTAGAGAATCGGGGCTCAGTCCTCACACCTCCTCTCTGCTCTCTCCACTCACTCCCCTGGTGGTGTCCTCCAGGCTCAGGGCTTTAAAACTTTTTTTTTTCAAGTTTGTTTATTTATTTTTGAGAGAGAGAAAGCATGAGTGGCAGGGGCCAGAGAGAGAGGGAGACAGAGAATCCCAAGCAGGCTCCACACTGTTAGCACAGAGCCCGATGCAGGGCTTGAACCCACAAATCGTGAGATTATGACCTGAGCCGAGGTCGGCCACTTAACTGACTGAGCCACTGAGGTGCCCCTCCAGGCTCAGGATTTTAAATACCATCCATAGGCTGATGATTTTCAAATATGTTCTTCCGTTCCAGACTCATCTCCCAAATCCTTAAGAGTATAGTCTACCAACACCCAATACAGATATCTTAAACTGGATGGGTCCAAAACAACTCCCACTGTTCAATGGACAAAAATCCACCCCACCCCCCACTGGCCCAGTCTATGCTGCTCCCCATAGAGCAACTTTGCCCTTGGAGTCACCAGAGACAGACATCGTGGGGTCACTTTTAACTACCGTCCCTGCCATACCTCATGCCCCATCCATCAACAAACCATTTGGGGGCTCCATCTACAAAACAGATCAGAACGGGGCTATTTCTCATCACTCCGCTCACCTGTACCATTTTCCCTGAGTTATTATGTAGCCTCCTAACCGGCCCCCTTGCTCTGCCAATTCCTTTTCCCCCAAGTCTGTTCTCCATAGAGCAGCGGGAATGGCAGCCTGCTACATTAACCGCCCCAGTAAACAAGGTCTTCTGGTATCCGCACTGTGCACAGTCCCATGGAGACTCTGGGCTTGGCAATGTGACTTAGGCCCTGGGAGGCAAGCACAAACTCACCGCATGTTCTCCAGGAACGCTGCCACCATCTTAGAAGAGGCAGCCTCCTTGGATGAAAGACCACATGGAAGGAGAGGGCCAGCCGTCCCAGCTGAGCCCAGCCCCCCAGCTGGGTGAGCTCAGGTGAAACCAGCACAAGCAAGGCCTAGTCACCTCAGACAAAGAAGCCACCAGCAGCAGACCACTGAAACAAGGTGCTTTCAGAACAAGCCTGCTCGGTTCACCCCTCTGCTCAAAATCCTCCGATGGCTCTCCATGTAACTCAGAGCCAAAGCAGGGTCTTAACAATGACCTGGAAGGCCCTCCGGCCACCTTTCTGATGTCACCCCCTGTCACTGCCTCCTCACTCCTCAAGTTCACTAGGCACGCGCTGCTGCCTCTAACAGGGCTCTCTTCCTCCAGTTATTCCCCTGCCCCTCCCCGCTTCCTCCCTCCTAGAGAGGTCTCCTTGAGAGCCCATGTGAACCAGCGCCCATCCCTTCCTCCTCACCCCATCGGTACCTGTCACTGGTGTACCACTCTGTGTTCGCTGCCTGTGTCCCCAACGAGAATGCGAGCTCCTTGAAGGCAGGGACTCTGTCTTTGTTCTCTGCTGTATCCAAAGTCCAGAACAATGCCTTAATCCTGATAATAATCAACAAAGAGTTGTTGAAGGGAACAAAAAAATTGGAATCAGAGAATCTAATGAATCTGTTCTTTAAAAATTTTTTTTAACATTTATTTATTTTTTGAGAGAGCGAGAGAGAGAAAATGAGTGGGGGAGGGGCAGAGAGAGAGGGAGACACAGAATCTGAAGCAGGCTCCAGGCTCCAAGCTGTCAGCACCGAGCCTGACGTGGGGATCGAGCCCACGAACCACGAGATCATGACCTGAGCCGAAGTCGGACGCTTAACCGACCGAGCCACCCAGGCGCCCCCTAACACACCTGTTCTTAACAAAGACACTGCACTGAATCTGTAAAGAAGCTGCTCTAGCTAAGTGCTGAAGGGAGCCAAGAAGTTTACGTACGTGAGCTGGTCTCATCTCCAGTCCTACCCTGGTTCACCTCACAGGCAGAGCCCCACCCAAGCCCTGAGCCAGTGCACGCCTGGGAAGGAAGACTTGAAGAAAGCTCACCGTCACATGCAAGTGGCATCTAGAAGAATCTTGATGCCGAGGCCTGGTGTCTCATGTGCCCGGCAAAAGGCTCAAAGACAGGTGTCCCTCCTCCCTGCAAGTGGCTGCCTGTCCCCTCCTCCACCCTCTGTGGCCTCTTCCATTTGATCTAGTTTCCCTTACCTAATGAGTACTCACAGGGAACCTACTCTTTGCCAGCTCTAAGAACACTGCAGTGAGCAGGAAGCACATCCTCATGATACCCACAAGACAACCTATTTCTTTTCACCACTGGCATTCAGGGTGGAGTTGCTCAGCATCTTATGGGGCTGTCCAATGCATTATAGGACATCTAACATCACCAGCCACTCAAAATCCAGTCGCTGTGGATAACCAAACTTCCCTTGTCCATTTTCAGTTGTTTGCTGGGATGGCAGAGTCATCCCTGATGGACAACCTGGGGACAGGCTGCCCAGCATGGGCCAGAGCCCTGCTTGCCGCGCTCTGTTACAGGTATTCACTGGTCTGTCTCTCCACCTTGACACTGAGCTCCACCAAGGATGGTTCCATGACTTGATGGCCTCTGTGTACCCACACCAGCACATGTATGTGACACAAAGGAGACCTGAACATGTCCTGCCTGCCTGGTGGGGCTTCATTCCAAATCCTACTCTCCCCAGGGCCAGCTCTTGATCCCCACCTTCCTCCAAAGCAAACCCTACAGCACACCCCCAACCATCTCGCCATCATGTGGCGTTTACCCAATGCTCACCAAATTCATAGTTGAATGAGTGAGTCCTCTGGAGAAGTTCATGATATATAGAGAGAGGACAACCTATTAATACTCCCAGGATGGTGTGTAGGGTGCTATAACAGAGAAACATGATGGGATATTTAGGGGCAGAAAGGAGATCCCCCCCCTTGGCCCCCTCCCCAACACTGTGAATAGAAAACCTCAAGGTTATAAATTACACCTCATTGTGTTTTGGAATGATAGAGTATTAAGAATAACTTTTCGAATAATTCTTTCAAAACTATCTCAGAGATCAATCACTGCTCTCTACACTCTACCAGTAAGCAATCTGATTCCTGAAGCTCACATATACCCCGAATGGATTTGTGTGCCTCCAGACACGGGAAATGTCAGCTGGGGCAGCTGGGCACCAAAGATGAAAAGTCAATTTCACATCACAGTGAGAAAATCATTTTCCCAGACATTACACAAGTCAACAAACAACAATATTCAAGCCTCTGGCACCGGCCTTGTCCAAGGAAATAACTCTTAAATTTAAGGAGAGACACAGCCCGACGAGATTGGGGTGAAGTCACCTGTCTAGAAATTGACAAGACTGGTGACAAAATGTCGAAGCCAAGTTCTCCAGCTTTGCGAGGTTAACAGAAAATGTCTGTATAGATTGCAAACTGCAAGCCGTTGGAAGCTGTAACTTCTCCAAAATGAATAAAAATCCTGTCAATTATGAACGAGTGAGCTTGACTTCCATCATAAAAACTGTCAGATGAAAATGAGAAACTTCTTTACAAGCCCAGCATTAAATACGACTTGTCAAATCGGTCGTGTCCTGAGCTTGCCGGGGGCCATGAACTCGCGGCCCCCCGCAGTCGGCCGGGCTCATGCCCCACCACAAGGGCCACGGGATGGGAATGTGGAAACCCATAAAAACTTAAGGGAGCTGCAGGAGGGCGGGTTTGATGATCTGCCTTCCTTGCAGATCTCTCCTGATGAGAGACCCTTCCTTCCAGTCCCCCTGCCTCAGCCCACATGCCTCTCTTGGGGCTGATGACACAGCTCGGCGGGTGGGAGGCACGCAGCCAGCCTAGCCAGACCCTGGGTAAACCCCATCCCCCCACCTCCAGCAACAGCGGCTGCCTTAGTGTTGGTCACGTGACTCAGATCTGCCCAGCGAAGACCATCCTGAGACTTGGGCTGGAACGACTGGGAAAGGTCTCTCTCATCTCAGGGACTGCTAAACTGAGAGAATGTAATTTGCAGTTTCTCGAAGCCAGTGAAGGGTAGAAGCTGTGTGGGAATAAAGACAGCACAGAACGGGGCAGAACCGAGTGACAGAGCAGGAGGGACTGAGTGCACATTCAGAATTCCCTGCGCCAGCCGTAACTGGTCAGACCCTCCCTTGGTTATTGCCACAAGTCAGGAGATACTCCCTTTTCTCTCTTTTTTTATTTTTTTTAAGTTTAAAAAAAAATTTTTTTTAATGTTTATTTATTTTTGACAGAGAGAGAGAGAGAGAGAGAGACAGAAGGGGAAGGGCGGAGAGAGAGAGGAAGACACAGAATCTGAAGCAGGCTCTAGGCTCCGAGCTGTCAGCCGTACCCGCCTCACGCGGGGCTTGAACTCATGAACTGTGATATCGTGACCTGAGCCGAAATCAAGAGTCATACGCTTAACCGATTGAGCCGCCCAGGTGCCCCTATTCTCCCTTTTTTCTTAAGCCTGTTTGATTAGCATCCAGGCCAATGTGATTGCTGAGTTCCCTGGTCCCAAACAGCACTTCTCCCCGAGCCACAGCCATTGACTCAAATCTTTAGGTTTGTCCTCCACCCGCCCAGGAACAGGCCTGTTCCCACTCAGACTCACAGAGCAGTTAGGGAACAGTAACTCAAAAGCTCGGATGACTTTACATGTTGCTGATCCCTCTGTGTGGGCCCTGGTGTCAATGCCTGTGACTGCCCTGTTCACATAAACCAGCTCCTGCCTGGTCCTGTCTCAGTCCCCTGTGCTTGAATGTTTGCCTTCAAGAAATTTCTACTCAGACACACCTCAATCTTTGTTGATTGCAAATTGCCTAGAATAGTGTCTGGGATGTCACTGAGGTCCATCAGATGTTTGATAAAGATCACAATGACCTCATTGATTATTTATAGCAGATGATGTTGGAGTCCTGCCCAGGTCTCCACTAGTGCATATTCCCTGGAGACGCCTGTGAGTTACAGGCTGGGAAACGGCTCCTAGACAACGGCTGACCAAAGCCACCTTTTCTTTGGGTAAGACAACTGCTGGTGCAACTCACACTCCTGACCTCCGGGTGGGGTCAGGCTGAGGCTCGCTTCCCCCCAAAACCTAGATTTCTTTGTCTTTGTCTTTTTTCCCCAGATTTACTGACATGTAATTGACATGCAACATTGTATACATTTAAGGCTTACAAAGTATCGCCCAATGCACTCATATGCTGCAAAGCGATTACCACCATAGGGTCAGCTAAGCCCCCACGTGTCACCTAAGTACCATTTCTTTTTTGTGATGAGAACATTTAAGATTTACCCAATTAGCAACTCTCAAGTGTATAAGCCAGTACTGTGAACCACAGTCACCCACTCTACATGAGATCCCCACGACGTTCTCATCTTATAGCTACAAGTTCCTCCTCCTGGATCAACATCTCCCCATTTCCCCCACCCCCAGCCCCACCACTCTACAATTTCAATGAGGTTATGAAGCTTCTCTCTCCCTCTCCCTCTCTCTCTCTCTCTTTCTTTTTGCCTACCTTCCTTTCTTGATCCGACCTCCTTCCCTCACTCCCTCACATGTCTACCAACACTCAGGCCACGTGCATGAGGACTTCCCAGACTCGACGTCTAGGGAACCTGGCCCAAAACACTGCTCAAACAATGCCTGTCAACACTGCGATCACACAGAGCAAGGAAAGGCCGCATCACATGACACTAGAGAGCTGTCATTTCATGGAGATACTGGAGTAAGGACAGGATTTCACAGCCAGAGGTGAGGAGAAGGTGAGACACGCAGAAGAATCCATGTGCCAAAAGGCCCACGGGGAGGACTGCGCAGCAGGCAGGCAACAGACAAGATGGGGGGGAGAACGAAGAGGAAAGTAGTTAATACACACCTCATCTGTTTTCACTTGCAGTCTGTGCCTCTCCATAATGTCATGGCCGGTCATAAATGGCAAGCTCATCGCCGGGACCCAGAAGATTCAGCGGGAGGAACGTGTGAATGTAGGTGAGGGAGAAGGACAGAGTTTTCCCCTCAGTAGAGGGAGGGAGGTAAATAATTAGCCCAATGTATGTGTATTCGGTGGAATATTCCCTGGGAGAAGGAAGTTCAGAGGCCAACAGGGGAATTGAGGAGTAAGAGCCTAGGATAGGGTTAGGGCAGTGGGGCAGGGGTGCAGTAAGTAGCAGACTGATTCAAAAGGATGAGGCCTGGGGTTCCTGGGTGGCTCAGTCGGTTAAGCATCCGACTTTGGCTCAGGTCATGATCTCACAGTTCGTGGCTTGGAGCCCCACGTCAGGCTCTGTGCTGGAACCTGCTTCCGGTTCTGTGTCTTCCTCTCTCTCTCTGCCCCTCCCCCTTCACTCTCTGTCTCTCAAAAATGAATAAAGGTTAAAAAAAATTTTTTTAAAGGGAAGAGGCCTGCATATGTTTGAGATAATTGTGAGTAATCTCGTTTATTGCTCAAGACAATATTGTTGGGCTTATGTTGCCCAGAAGCTGAGAGAAGTGGCAGGCCTACAGTCAACAAATATGTCAGGGTAGGCCCGAGACGTCGCCAATCAACCCCTAAAGCTTATTTTCCCCCCTTGTTAATTAGTCCGAAAGGAACATTCCTGGGAAGATAAAAAAAAAAATTTTATTCATCTATGTAAGGAAGGGTGGGTGCGGAGGGCTAAGCTGTATAATTCTGGGAAAGGAGCACAGAGACGAGATCCAGTTGGGCAGTCTGTCACGGAATTATGTATTCACGAATGGCTACGATGAGAACCCCATTCCACTCCCGGGACCTGCAACCTCCACGTGGCCTTAATAAGTATAACCAGATGATGGGGCACCTGGGTGGCTCAGTCTGTCAAGCACCCAACTTGTGATTTTGGCTCAGGTCACGACCCAACGATTCGTGAGATAGATAGAGCCCTGCATCGTGTTCTACGCTGACAGTGGGGAACCTGCTTGGGATTTTCTCTCCCTGTCTCTCTGTCCCTCCCCTGTTCATTCTCTCTCTCTCTCTCTCTCTCTCTCTCTCTCTCTCTCTTTCATCTCAAATAAATAAAAGTAAAAAAAAAATTAAGTATAACCAGATGTTCTATTGAAGCCAACTATCCAATGAGCAAAAGTCAGTTGACATGAGAGCAGACAGGGAAGCATATGGCTCTCAGAGGAACAATGTGCTAGCAAAGTCCCAAGTAATTCTGCATTGTATGTGGTATCTTTTCGCCGCCCATGGCAGTAAAGGGGAGCTTCAATAAACACTCATTTCATGGAGCTTCATTGACCTTGCAATACGCATTGAACCTTGTTCAGCTTCGGGTTCCTTATCTGTAAAATGGGACTGATGACAGGCACGGCGCAAGGCTTCATGGGATTATGTTAAATGAGGCAATTTACATGAGTTTCCTTTGTAGACTCCCAGGCAGCATGCAAACATCTTCACCTCCTCTGAAAGCAACAAGCCCAGAATATCAGCATGTTAATTATTTTTTATCGGTTGGAAATGAAAGGAAGGTCAAAACAGTTGCTTAAGTACACTGCCAAGAACACTAGAGAGAGTAAAATTGAAAACAAACAAACAAACAAACATTTGGCATGAGAAAAAGCGTTAACCTATGGCAATCTCTTTTTATTGTCTGCTTTCCATGCTCCATTCCAAGCTTGGGGTGCTTAGTTTTCCAAGGAAGCAGATGGATGTTGGTGAATATGTGACCTGCCCACAACAATTACACAGCTTTATGGTGCTTTAAATCATCCCAAAGATAAAAATCAAAAACAAAGTTTTGGAGCTTGTCAAAACTAGTCTAATTAAAGCGGCAAATGTGCTAGCTGGCAAATGTGTCTCTGCAATGAGATAACTCGGGCGCTGCTGGCTGCAAGGCATGCTGGGATC